ATTATTTTGGAAAATGTAAAAGCTCTCTTTTTTCCTGCAAATTGCACAAGTGCGCTTCAGCCATTAGATTTGGCCGTGATTAGAAATTTAAAATTGCATCATAGAAAGCAGTAACTTCAACTCGCTATTCAAAGCATTGTAGAGAATAATAGCAAGAAAATATAATTAAAGGTAACATACATTCAAATGGCTCACTGCAATTTTTCTCCTTTGGTTATTTGTTTGTTTTGCTTTGTCTAATTTAGAAATTTATGCAAATCAACACGCTAAACATTAAAGTTAACTGAAAACAGAGTTAGTTTCAGTTTTAGAAGTAAAAATCGATTATACGACGTTATCGTTTATACGACGTTTTTCGGTGGTCCCTTCGCCGTCGTATAAACGATGCTCCACTGTAGTTATATTCTTTGTTCCACCTTGCAGATTTTCCAAAAAGCATACAATTTATAAAATTAAAAAAGGTTTTAAAAAAATGAAAAATTCTATCTAGAAATGTGGAAAAAAGATCATTACATTAGGTTTTGAGAAGTTATGTTTGGAAAATTCAAAAATAAAAGTATTTCAAAAAAAAGAGGGATGGAGGCTAGTGGGAGAACCTCTCTTGACTTTGAACTCTATTCGTCTAACGTAATGTTTTTAAAAATGTATGTTCTGATTGTGAACTAATCCCAGTAGATATTTTCCACTGGGTCAGTGGGTGATCAAAGAGCAAATCATCCCTTCTACAGAGAGGAGTCTTTGGATCCTCCTCAATGAATGTAGCTCGTTGTGGAGATCTAGAGCGACTTAAATAAAATTATGAAATCAGTGAATAATCCTTAAAGTATATAAATGATTTTGAAGATAATTTATTGTAGGTTTAAAAAAGTATTTTACAATTTTCTTTCAAAGATGTTTTATGTATACTTAGATGCGCATTATTAAAAATTAGTTGTAATCGTTCATTATAGCTATTCGAATCTAAAATGGATGCTTGTTTTGTCACAGGTATAAAGGTGTGAGGGAAATCTTTGAAGGTACTGGTAAGTACACCCTACTGAAGGAAGGAAGTACCTTCATACTCGGCATAAGTGAGGTGTATGGAGAAGATGCTGATGAATACAGCTGCAGGGCTCACAACAAGGGAGGTGTCAGAACTTCCAGAGCTGAACTACTTATCATGAGTAAGTCTCTCACTCTAGTCTTTCCGAAGTCTGAGTTGGGTTCACAATTATAAAGAATTGATAATGAATACTCTGTAACAGCTTTTGTTAAAAACACTCTCGCAGTCGAACTAACCATGGGTGGTTTTTCTCCTTATGTAACATAAATCAAAATTGCTAGTTTGCCCCGATCCAAGAAGTCTGTTGTTCGAGATTGGTAAATTGGGTTATCTGTTGAACGCCTGTTATAAAATAAAATCTCAAAATGACCAAAACGTCTGTTCAATACTAAATGAGAATAAAGATAGGGAAAGATTCAGAAAAATTTTAATTAGGGCAATAAAGCTGTATAGTATCACCTGATAATGGCTGATTCATACTTGTCTACTTTAAGTATTTCACAAACAACTAAAAGGGAAGCGAATCAAGATAAGAATTATGATTCTCACACCGACAGCCAATTTGTTTTCCAGCAATTATTATTCCTTTCCAAATATTTTTTAGACTGTCATTTGATTGTTCGATTAATGAAGTTTTTCAGTAATATATGTTCCCCATAGTAAAAGTGGGAGTACTAGAAACCATATCCAGAGCCTGACTAATGCAGGGGCAAACGGGACAGTTGCTCCGGGCTTCCACATCAGAGGGGGCTCCCATTTTGTATAGAAAGTTTATTTTACATTTCCTTCTTTAATGAACCTTTTTTTAAACAAAATATCAGTACAGTGAAAAATCCATCAGTTTTATGTTAACTTCTTCATTAATCTATAGTATGAACGCAAAAAATTCAGCTAAATTTTCGCAATGACGATGGACAAATTTGGCCAGTGAAAAGCCTGTATTTTTCCTATCGTATTTTGTGATATGTTTACAAAAATATGGGCTTTTGATTGGCTTCATTGAGCCATCATCATTGTGAAAAACTTCCGCCCAAATGTCAGCAAAGATATAAATTTTCCGCAGCTGGATGACAAAGTTAACAACCAGTTAAGCCATTGTTGAACAAAAAACGGCCCATCAGAAAATTACATTCGATATAATGAACATAGAATTGTCAGAAAATCAATAAAACGGACAGAACGATACTTCGTCTGACCATTTTAGGAAAAGGGACTTTTTATAGCTATTTCATGTTGTAGTAAAATTTCTTTTTATGTATCTATAATGAGGCGAAAAATTTAAATACCTCCATGAAGTTCGATTCATCATTACTGATGTAGGCTCTGAAGAAGGTTTTGCCCCGTGCCACCCCAATTAAGCTAGCTGGTCCCTGATCATATCTACCGAACGTACGACATTTTCAGTTGTTCGCCAAAGTCCAAGCATTATTTTCACGACTTTGTCCGCGGGCTCTCTTCATAGGAACAAAATCATGTCTTTGGATCATCAGACTTCAGAAAATAGGCCACTCTGTCCCCTCCCAATGAGGACCTCAATTTGATCGCTGGACAGACTATTCTCAGTGATATCTTAGGTTAAAATCCCCTTGTTTTTGAGCAAAGAGGTTTTTTCTCTCCCTGTAACGCAAATGGGGGGGTTAGTTTCATCCTTCACCTAATCCAAGTGTTCTCCTGGGGTTGTGATAAAAATTATAAAATACTGAATATCGATTGAGACATAAATACTGAATTCTTTGTTTTATTTTCAGAGCCACCTCACATCAATGTTCCACCGAGATTCCGTGATCTTGCACAGTTTGAGAAAGGAGAAAACATTCAACTGAAGATTCCTTTCACGGGATTCCCTAAACCCAGTCTCAAGTGGAGCAGAAACGAAGAGACAATCGAAAAAGGTGGACACTATGACATCATAGTAGGGGAGAGACATACCATACTGGTCATACGAGATGTCAATACGGATGACAACGGACCCTACAGATTGACGGCTGAGAATGAACTGGGAACGGACTCTGCCATCATCAACGTTCAAATCAGTGGTATGATGTATTTGCAAACAGATATGGATTGTAGTTTGTCTAAAATAAGAACTTCCCCAGAAATTCGTCTGGACCTATGGCGGTGACTATGGTTACGAGATATTTTCTATTTCAAGTAGGGGTGCGAGATCACTGTTTCGGATCAGGTCGGCGACAGAAAAGAAATCTCTTCGGTTTATTGTGTTAGTCCTAGAGTGAAGCTACCCTCCCTAAAATGCACCTTTCTTTCCATAGCACCAGACGGCCTCACATTTTGTGGCGGGAGGAGTTCTTAGCTTAGACAAACCATACTAAAAAAGCTGGAATATCGTACATTTTACTGGAAGATTTATCAAAGCTTGGTCACTCATAATCCTCGTAATACGTACCAAAGTTTTTACCACTTTGGTAAAAACTAGTTTAAAAAAAAAAGTCACTTTGGAGAAATTCTAGAATTTAACGGGGGTTTTTACCTTAACATATGCCTGTTTATCTCTCAATTGTTTTCCCCCACACACAGATTTATAAATCGAAATTAAAGAAAGGGGAAGGAGAAAATTTCAATGTGTGAGAAAAATGGTGATTCATCTGAATGCAAAATACTAGTAATCTGAATGCGAAAAAAACAAATTTTGTATAAAAATTAAAAGAAAAATAATTACTTTGAGGAAGAATTTGCACTTTTGAATAAAAATAAAAAAAAAGATAAAGACTTAAGTGGAGGCATAAAGAATAAGAAATACTTCAACTTAGTAAAAAAAGAACATAGGAATGAATAAAAGAATGCATATAGAATGAAATTAAAACTCCTTTTTTTTATAAAATCGAGGTGTAAGCTTGAAAACATCACTGATATTATCTCTTACATAATTAAAAAACAGAACCACCTACAGTTTCATTTAATGATTGAATATTAAGCCAATGAGAAAAGACTGATTTTTCAAACCTGAGCGGAATAAGTGACATTTTTGAATGATTTTTAGAACTGTCCAAAAATTGCTTGTTGCAAACACACACACAACATGACGGTTATTGGAGGCACAATCTTTCTTTTTAATATTCTATATGATTGCAACTAAGTTTTTATTATAAACACCTTCCTTATCAAAAGATAAGTAAAGAAATAGATAAAAAAAAATTGGATTTGTGACACTGTGAATAATACAATATTAAAATCTCATTGAAAAACAGAACATTTCTTCCGTTAGATTTTTTTTTCTAATACCAGAATCGAATGTATTGTTTTAAAAACAATTCTTGATCAAAGGGTAAATTTATCTGGGATCATATCCAGAAACAAATTCTTAAACTACTGAATAACTACCAGCACATTAATAAAAATGTAAAAAGAAAAACTTTTTCATTATTTTAAAACCAATTCGATAATTTGTTTATATTTATTTTCTCACTAACAAAAATATTAAATAATGGATAAGAATCAAATGATATTCCAGCAAAATATATATATAAAAAATAATAATAAGATTTTTAAAAAAATAAGAAAAACAATATGATCAGATTAATGCAACCACTACGATCATATGTTTTTTTTTTCTTTCCTGGGTAGACTTTGAGGAACGCCACAACAATTGAGATGCAAAAAGTGCATCATTTGATGTTTGTTCTCTAAAGAGCTGGATTATATTTCATTTCCAAACAATATACGTTTTTCAGACATTACAATTTTTTTTCCTCTTGAAAGAAGTTGAAGAAAAGTTGGATGCATGAAATTTAAGTATCAGAATATGGATTAAAGTATTGAAGAACAAAAAATGGCAGAAGAGTGTTATTTTTAGAACATTCTAGGTCTGAATCTTTGGATTGGAATTTTAATAAAGAAAAACAAAGCTTACTAAATTGAGTGTCGAGGGAAGATAAATCACCATATAAACAAGGAGTAGATGAAAAATAATTATAATAAAGGGTAGATACTTGCTAAATTTATGCAATTTTGCAATATCAACTTATTTACATATTTTACGTAATTAACTTGCCTTATTTCTAAGAAAATATTTTACTTTTTCAAGATTAACTTTTTTTTATTAATATGTTATTTGAGTTTTAAGAAAATATATTCCAAGTGCAGGTGGTGTTAGTAGAATGCTTACTAAAATTCTTAAGTTAATGAATCATTTATATTTTATTTTGAATTTATCGTAGGTACTTTATATGTCAATAAGGTAACTTTTTTATTTCTCTTATTTCTTGCGTGCTCGTTGTATTTTTATTAGAGTTTAAAATTTGAGTATATATCGAAATATAGTGGTAAATATAATATAACCTGTAGATAATATAAACATGAATTCAATGCTATGTTTGTATATAGTTGAGAAAAAAAATTACCTATATTTAGTAGCTTCGATTTTCTTAAGACACTCTATTGTCTAAATGAGATTTTTACTTATATTAACTAAATTTTATTTCGTTGAATTGGAAGAAAATTTTGCCAAGTAAAAGAAGAACATTCTTTCTTTCTTGGTGGCGGCTTGCCAACACTTTTAAAAATAAAATTTAACGATGCGGACAAAAGCAAGAAAAATAATGCAATGCCATTATCAAAACGTGAAATGAAAAATATATTTTTTTTTAAAAGAATGAGAAGTGCTCATGATTTTGGAGGATGAAATTTGTTTTATATGTATTTTAAATAAGGCTTAATAAGTTAATATGATTTTTAAATTGTATTTTCTATTTTCTAATGAGACTAAATCAAATTTCTAATTGATTCTACTATAGTTCAGACCCCTGCCACATGTCTGCTCCCTATCACTTTATTTAATGAATAAATTTTATTGAAATGGAGCAAGAAAAAACACAACTTTAAAATTAGCCTCACTCAGAGAAATATTCCATTCCACCGTGATGTTATATTGTGATATTAATGTAATTCTCATAATCATTCACTAATAAATGAAAATATGGCAGAGACATTAGATAATAAAACGTTGCTAGAGGGTGTTGTAGGCAGTTGAAAAAGGAGAAACTTTAAGATACGCGTTGTGATGACGTCAAAGAATTATTATTCTAACATTAAAGCACAGCATTATTGTTCAAACATCTAAGTGGAAACTCTTTATGTATTTCTTTGTGCTGAAAAACTCCGAGAAGTTCCAAAATTATCGTCTGTTTTTTTTAAATAATTTATTTGACTTGTTCTGTATTTTACTAGAAATTAAAAGGAAAATTTTTCGAAAAATTTAGTTTACAATATTTCCATTAAATAATTGAGTTCATTAAAATGCTAATTTTTATTTTAACTGCAGACCGTCCTGACAAACCAAGGAACGTGACAGTGCAGAGAGTGACAGATGACTCCGTCACGCTCTCCTGGAAGGCTCCAGCCTGGGATGGTGGCTCTCAGATACACAACTACATCCTTGAGAGGCAAGAGACACCCATGACCAGCTGGGTCAGATGTGGAAACACAAGGTTAGTTATTTATTCCTCACTTAAAGCGTATTCCGTTTTAAAGTTATCTGCGATTTTATTTACAAAAATTAATTGTGAGGCTCATAGAGATCCAATCAGCAAGGCCACATATTTTGCTGCGTTAGTGTACGCTTTAAAATTTAGACAAAAGATATCCGTTATCGTGACATTGCCTCAAATAGTTAAAATTAAATTTCGACAGTGCTAAAATTTACACTCTATCGACGTCAGCCCATTTTGATGCATTGGAATCCTTATTCATTCATAGGAATGCCCTTATTAACGAAATGAGATCCTCCCCTTCTCTCAATAGCACGTGCAGATGCATTTTGCCCTGATTTGTTTCTCTCGATCACAGTTCTTTATCTAGTTTATTTTTTCATCTTTATTTTTCTAGATTTTCGGTGATAATTTTACGCTTTCTGTTTAAAATTAAATTTTTTCCTCTCCTTCTTGACAATGGGTAAGTATTTTTGAGCTCGATTATTGCCATCATCAATTTGTTTTGAAGTCAATGAAGTTTGTAATATTGTCACAATTTCTGTACTCCATGACTGCAATTCCTTTTGAATAACTATGTTATCACTACCCTCCNTTAGATATTTAACTTTGCATAATAGTGGATTTATAATTTGTGTTTATTTCTAGTGGATGCGTATGGGAAGAAAATTCGGGGTAAATCAGAAGGTGTGGTTTCAAATTATGACCAGTTTGGTAAGTATAACAAAAGATGGACATGAAAATGTTAATGGATAAGTGTAGTTAAAATTGTGCTCAACTAAGTGAGAAACACGCTTTTAAACCAATTTCACCATTTATGAAGCGGTATTCGACCCTAATAGTTCATGAATTCAATGTCTTAATTTACCTGAATAAACATTTTTTTTTTAACGAATCTTCGTTTTTAAAATGTAGAGGGCAACTGAAAAAAAAACAGTATTATGAACAGTATTTGGAATGAAATTCCAAAATTAAAGTAGGATAAATAGGGTGTAATTTGGTTTAGAAATCAAAACTAGAGCATAATTCTAAAACTTTTTTTGTTTCTGCAGTTATCAATTAAATCAAAAATATTTGTACCAGCTAAAGATAATTAACGATTACGTATTATTAGACATAACTCTAAGTAAGTATCTAGGGAAATATGAAGCCACATTCTTTAGATACATGATCTAAAGAATTTTGAAATGTAATTTATAACGTTTTCTAAGTAAGATACTAAAGGGCTTACCATTATGTTAACAAAGGCTTCTTATGGTAAATATTATATATTTTTTTTAAAAAGAAAAATTATTTAATCATTAATGAAATGTATCAGATGTTTAGAGCATAACTTTTTTTATAACCTCTATATTTACGATACTCCAAGTCTTTTGATTTTTCATAGCGATTATTTTAAGAATTAAATTAGTATTCGTGGGAAAAGGAATTTTCTGAATACACATAAATCAAGGAACAAAAAACTAAAAATAAAATTTAAAAAAAAAAAATAATAAATTTACCAGAAAATTGAGAAATTTCGGATCAACTTACAAACTCTGATACCACTCAACTTAGAGCTCTTTTATATTAAAATAAATGGAAAAAAGTAGTTTACTCTTTATTATTAAACCACTAGTGCTAAAACGTTTACTATTACCCTCTACTATACTAAACCACTAGTACTTATACTATTATATATGGAATCCATGTCATTTTTGATATATATATATATATATATATTGATTCAGATACATATATATATTAGATTCTTCAATTGATTAAAAAAAACTTGAAATGTATATTTCATTGTCCTTAATTAATACGAGTATATACTAGTCGGATAGTATATAAACCAGCATATAATAGTAATAATACTAGCTGGAGGAGAGTAGTATATGATGCATGCTATTGCTTTTTAAAAATAGTTTCTTCAGCTTTGCTTAGATAAGTGGTTTCATTTTCATTTAGAGTATAGAAGTTCTTTATTAACTTTTTCTCTTTTTCAGTGTTTAATATGGACAAATACATTCCGCAAGCAGTTGGTATCAAAACATCGAGTGTTTATGATTATTATGATATTTTAGAAGAAATTGGAATGTAAGTATTTTTTTTATTCATAAATATTACTTAGAATCAATACGAGGCAACAATTTCTCATTTTAGCCATTTCTAAAAAATTTTATACTGAATAGCTTCTTTCTTTGTATTTTTATAAAAATAACACATAAAACTTGGCAGAAATTTTATAACATAATAAAAATTCCATGTATAAAAGTGCGTATACAAATCATATCTGTACATAATTGTTGAAGATATTCCAATAGTTTATGCTTTCAGAGTGACTAAGTGTAAAGACTACAATGTGTATATTAATTAGTAGGATGTAATTGTGGATAATATTCTTACAGTGAAATACGCAAAAAATAAAATTTACATAAAGGAGTCCAAACAGTGGACCTCTCTCCTGAACTGACTAGCGGGGCCATATTTCTTAGATTGTGGCCACCCCCTTTATTATGGGGGTCAGATATCCGAATTCATCGGAGGAAAAAATTATGATTATTCATAGGACGTGTATCAGATTTCGCTTGCAGTAATTAAATAGCATATTGGCGATCAACTCCTTATATCATTGAGACTGAGTCCTAGAACGTGAAAATTAGATTAAAAAATTTATTCATATTGGTCCGTTTTTCTTCCGTTCTTTTTTATGCTAATGAATCTTGTTTTCCTGTTGGTCATCTCTCTATGGAGAAATTATTGTAAACTTTGATGAGTTTTTACTTATGATAAATTCTACTTTCATCTCTAATAATTCAGAATCAAATAGTTTGCAATAAGAGATGGATTGTCACACTTTCCTTATTTTGGAGCTCCCTTGACTTTACAAAAAACATGATAATTTCATTTTTTTTCTCATCCTACACTCCACTTCAATAAGAAATGCGAAACTTATTAAACTGCCATTTCAATAAGGAAAATACATGTAAATTCATTATTCTAGGTAGCCAGTTTTGATTATTAATATACTTTGGGATAAATACAAAAACCACATAGTTTTAACTCGAAAGACAACAATGGATAACACAAGGAAAGAAGAAATATTTCAGACAAGAAAAGTAGGGGAGAGTGGGGTCAATTGTAACATTTTTTACTTAACTATTTTTAACTAACAAAAAATCCAATATATTATCAGTATTAATTGACAGACGAGTAAAGTAGACTATTCTCTACTAGAAAAANGATTTCTTTGAGTGCCCTCGCATTTTTAGTTATTTATGCCGAAGAGGGAAAATAGTCTTTATTTATTAAATTTAATTTACTAGATTTAATTTACAAAATTTTATTTACGAAATTTAATTTAGACCAAGTATTTTCTTTTTACCCGGTTCTACCAATAAACAACTTTCTTTTAAGAGTTTGATTCTATGAAGGTTTTGAAATGTGAAATAAAATCCAAAACTATATTGTTTTACCAAATGAGGGAAGGAATATAAATTGAAACTAAGAGCAGAAGACGTATTAGAAAGAAGGTCATGGAAACTGATTATATGGAAAAAAGTTTGAAAATTTCGAAAGAAATCGAAAAAAAAAATTATACACGCTAAACATATATTTACATCCCTTAAAATACAAAATTTATAATTTTTAATAAATTTAATTTTGAAAATCGGGAACGATCCATACTTTTTCACTCATATTGTTCGCTGTAGTTTTCTTCTTGTTTACGCCTGGACAGAAACAGTTTTTCACCCGTTCAGCTTCACTGTTTAATAACTCTCGGGAAGAATCGATTTTACGTGTTATTGATTTGTGGAAACTCCTCAAAGTGCACAAGATGGTGTCTCTCGTTTTTTCATTTTTTAAAAAAGATTTTTAAAAAAATGTGTATGCTCATTGGAAAGAGTGTGATTAAAAATCGTAAAGAATGAATTTTGTAATAAACTGTTTTATATATCTTGTTTCAGTTTGAAAATTGTATTTTAGAATTCGTAAGAGTATGTGAATTTGATTGATTTTTTTTTATCTTAGAATCCCAGAAAGAAAAAGCCAAAAAGAAATTGGGTAAGCTATATTATTTTGCAAATTTCTTTAGATATTTAACTTTGCATAATAGTGGATTTATAATTTGTGTTTATTTCTAGTGGATGCGTATGGGAAGAAAATTCGGGGTAAATCAGAAGGTGTGGTTTCAAATTATGACCAGTTTGGTAAGTATAACAAAAGATGGACATGAAAATGTTAATGGATAAGTGTAGTTAAAATTGTGCTCAACTAAGTGAGAAACACACTTTTAAACCCATTTCACCATTTATGAAGCGGTATTCGACCCTAATAGTTCATGAATTCAATGTCTTAATTTACCTGAATAAACATTTTTTTTTTAACGAATCTTCGTTTTTAAAATGTAGAGGGCAACTGAAAAAAAAACAGTATTATGAACAGTATTTGGAATGAAATTCCAAAATTAAAGTAGGATAAATAGGGTGTAATTTGGTTTAGAAATCAAAACTAGAGCATAATTCTAAAACTTTTTTTGTTTCTGCAGTTATCAATTAAGTTTTTAATGAGTACCAGCTAAAGATAATTAACAATTACGTATTATTAGACATAACTCTAAGTAAGTATCTAGGGAAATATGAAGCCACATTCTTTAGATACATGATCTAAAGAATTTTGAAATGTAATTTATAACGTTTTCTAAGTAAGATACTAAAGGGCTTACCATTATGTTAACAAAGGCTTCTTATGGTAAATATTATATATTTTTTTTAAAAAGAAAAATTATTTAATCATTAATGAAATGTATCAGATGTTTAGAGCATAACATTTTTTATAACCTCTATATTTACGATACTCCAAGTCTTTCGATTTTTCATAGCGATTATTTTAAGAATTAAATTAGTATTCGTAGGAAAAGGGATTTTTTGAACCTACATAAATCAAAAAGTAGGAACAAAGAACTAAAAATAAAATTAAAATAAAAAATAATAAATTTACCAGAAAATTGAGAAATTTCGAATCAACTTACAAACTTTGATACCACTCAACTTAAAGCTCTTTTATATTAAAATAAATGGAAAAAAGTAGTTTACTCTTTATTATTAAACCAAAACGTTTACTATTACCCTCTACTATACTAAACCACTAGTACTTATACTATTATATATGGAATCCATGTAATTTTTAATGTTTATATATATATTAGATTCTTCAATTGATTAAAAAAACTTGAAATGTATATTTCATTGTCCTTAATTAATACGAGTATATACTAGTCGGATAGTATATAAACCAGCATATAATAGTAATAATACTAGCTGGAGGAGAGTAGTATATGATGCATGCCATTGCTTTTTAACAATAGTTTCTTCAGCTTTGCTTAGATAAGTGGTTTCATTTTCATTTAGAGTTTGGAAGTTCTTTATTAACTTTTTCTCTTTTTCAGTGTTTAATATGGACAAATACATTCCACAAGCAGTTGGTATCAAAACATCGAGTGTTTATGATTATTATGATATTTTAGAAGAAATTGGAATGTAAGTATTTTTTTTATTCATAAATATTACTTAGAATCAATACGAGGCAACAATTTCTCATTTTAGCCATTTCTAAAAAATTTTATAAAAAGGTACTGAATAGCTTCTTTCTTTGTATTTTTATAAAAATAACACATAAAACTTGGCAGAAATTTTATAACATAATAAAAATTTCATGTATAAAAGTGCGTATACAAATCATATCTGTACATAATTGTTGAAGATAATCCAATAGTTTATGCTTTCAGAGTGACTAAGTGTAAAGACTACAATGCGTATATTAATTAGTAGGATGCAATTGTGGGTAATATTCTCTAGGAATGTTGATCACGTTGCAAAGAACTGGGTCAAATATTAGTTGAACCATTTAACCAATACAATGCTTTAATGAGACTTCATCTAAATATAAAAAGTTTAATAACTCAAATCAACATTTAGCAGAGCTTTATTCGTTAAGAAAATAAATTTGGCCTAACATAATTTTGATTATAGGAACAAAAAGACAACAATTATTTCAGGTATGACTAAAATTAGGAAATATCAAATAAATAAAAGATAAACATAAAGGATTAAAATAACAAGCAAAAAACAAGCAATCTGTGAGAATAGACCGGACCATAATAGCTCCGTTTTGAATTGAATGAAACCTGTTGAGGGTGAATGAAACAAACATAGGCTTTAAGGGTTCCCTAAACATTTTGAGAGAGAAAAAAAATTTCAGTTTTATTATGCATAAAAAAACGTGTTTTTGCACTCAAAACATATTTTTATTTTAAAAAAAATGCTATAAAAATATTTATCAAAAGGAAATTCATCTCCAAAAAAATGCGTCAAAAAATAACAAAATAAGCGTAAATAATATAATTGTTATATTACCCATTTTATACCTTCTTTAAATTGTTTATCAACAGAACATAAATAAATCACACTGAAGATCACAAGTAATCATGTGTCTAACAAGGAAAAATATAACAATTATTCGAGGCTAGTGGGATTTCATATTTAAGGAAAAAAACTGATAATTATTGAATTCTTTAGTCTAAATTTAGAACTGCAGGGCTGAATTATGTGAAAGGATCCGAATAATAATAAAGAATTTGGATAAAGAAAATAGTCTCAAAAGACTTGTTAAAGCTCATTTCAGAAACAGTTGATTTGACAAAAAGGATATTTTTTGCTTTTCTATAAGTGAACAATGTGTTATGGTTGTTTAAATTGATATTTGATGAAATTTACATCAACTTGAAGTTAGGGACACTTTTGGTTAAAAAAGTTTGCAATTCGAAAGTGAATCGTTTTATTTCAAATGTTTGATTTTTTTTTCGTGACAGTTGAGAGCTTTATAAATTAATTTCGCTTTTGCAAATAGAATAATATTTTTGTTAAAGAGAAGGTCTTTTTATTCTATATGTATGAATTTAATTTTTAAACTTGCCTCGATAAAATGCTCATGCAGAATGCACTTGGCTATCTCGTTAGTGCATTAAAGAAATTTTTACACTTTACAGGAAGTTTCCAACAAAAAAACAGTGAACAAAAAAACTCAATCAAAATGGATATCATTTTTATAAAAGCTTTAAAATTGAAATTTCTTAATTTAATAATTTAGGTGCAGAAAAAATTTTGTATCATGAAAACAACTAAAATAATTTTTTATAATACTGTTAAGATAGTTTTATGTTATTCAAGTATTTTAACTGAATTATATTTTTGTTAAATTTAATTTAATAATTTTTTTATTATTTATATATTTATCTTGCTTTATCAATCTAGTTTATTTAGGCTCAGTTAGGGAGACATACTCACAGGACTTACTATTAGGACTTTACTAATAGGAAAATTCTTATGTCATTAAGCATATTTACATTTGACATGACATGAAATCTAATATGTGATGGCTCTGTAAAAATTATATCGTCTAACTAAATTTAATCTTAGAACTGAATGTATAGTTTGTCTACGGTAAAAACTCCCCCTCCACTAAGTCTGAGGCCGTCTGCTGCTATGGAAACAAGAATAGCGCATTTCAGGGAGGGTAGCTTCTTTTCACTCTAACACAAAGAAAAAGGACCCGAGATAAAACTTATCCTAAACAATGAGCCCACACCACTACTTGAAATAGTTATACCTCGTCACCATAGTTGTGAGTCCTAGGGGAGTTCTTACTTTAGACAAACTATAGTTACATAAAGAAATTTTGTTACGCAAAATAGTCATGTATTCAAAAAGAAATGTTTTTTTATTTCAGTGGGGCATTTGGTGTTGTGCACAGATGCAGAGAAAGGTCAACAGGTCACGTGTTTGCAGCCAAATTCATTCCAGTGTCTCATGCTGTAGAGAAGGTGATGGTAAAGAGAGAAATTGATATTATGAATCAATTGCATCATCCCAAATTGATTCGTTTGCACGACGCTTTTGAAGAAGAAGACGAGATGATATTAATTTACGAATTGTAAGAATCTTTTTATACATAAACTTTTGAGAGAAAAAATGTCATTACATTAAGACAACAAAAAGAGTTAAATAAAAATGATGTCACTTCAAGTAATATATTGACTTGAAGTGACTCGAAAAGTTTAAGTCAAAAATGCATGAAATAACTTTTTCACTTGCGTTCAAAATAACGAGTTTCTTACACGAGTTTGTTGTAGATAATAAACAAAACTTGGCTAAGAACGAGAAAATTTCTCTGCAGCTGTTCTGAGTTTACTATTATCCAACTCCGTACTCTCATAATTTTGAACCCTTTCCAGGAGACAAGGGAACTCCTGAATTGGGAGAATTTGGAGGACTTTCTAATGGAACGTTTGCGTTACATGGAGATCACAGAAACCTCACACAGTCAGTCTGACGGTGAGATGTCCATGATCCGTCTACCACTGAGGATATTTTACATCTGCATTGGGGTTGGTGATAAGCCAACGCATCGCAGTCATCCCCCGGTTCATAACCTTATTAATTATAAACTTTTGTGTAATATTATTACCTCATCCTGTTTCGGGCTGATCCAAGGTAATCAAGCCTGTGAGCCATAAGCTTCCTCTATTTTCTTATTTTGTAATCTGGCAAACTTGTTACGAAAACATTTTAAATCATTTTTGAAAAAATGTTTAGAAGTACAGTACGCAAATAAAAGATATCACCCGGAATAACTTTCGTTCTAATAATCGGATTTTCACATACTAAGTGTCAATCTTTATACGTAATGGCTTCTTTGAATGACTTCAAATAGGCCACTTAATTAGCGCTAACTATAAATTAAAATACGGAACCAGACACAAAAAAAGCAATTTCTCTGAATAAACATTTTTTTTCTTTTTTTTTTTGTATTTTGCTCAATAAAGTTGCGTTCTTTAAAATTATATAAAACATTTTATACCTTACAATTGAAATTTTTTTTCGTCCATTATAAAAAAAAAAACATAAATATTTACTGGAAGTTATATTTTGCATTTAATTATCTTTAGGAATGCGAATTTTATGATGGTATACTAAACTATTTCAATTCGCTTAAAAACTTCTCTAGATATGGTGAAAGACGCAAGAAACAAAATTAGCACAAAGGGATCCAAATTTTGCACCGCTCTCCTGATCAAACTAAGGGGACCCTATTTCCCCCTAGATTTTTAGAATCAAAAATCTAAATCCGTCAGGGAAAAAAAAGATTTATTCTTTCAGAGAGTTTTTGTGTCTGATTTCGTAACGAATTAATTAGCATATTTAAGGTTACCCAATCGAGTCATTAAGATTGAGTCCTAGAATGTAAAGTTCCGATCTTTGGATCAAAAGTTATTTAGGGTGGATCGTTTTTTTATTTAACGCACCCCACGCGAAATGTAAAATTCAGTTTAAGAGCTCACTTTACTAACTATTGAAACCTAGATGTGTACTTTCCAAATGCAGTTTTTTTCTCAGGCGCTCTTGCAAATAAACACCCTGATAATTTTTTGACTATGTTTAGCAAAGACATTTACCCCAATTACTTGTCTTTTACCCTTTCCTCCATTTCCTTTCCCCCCCGTAATTTTCAATATCATTTTCAAGCTTATTAACCCCTGAGTCACTATGATTCACACGAAAAATATGTCTATCCTCAAAAGTTCGATAAATTGTCAATTGTCACACAGGAGCTCAGGGGATAGAGCGTTCGCCTTTCAATGAGATGAATCAGGTTCGTATCCCAAGAATGGCTGGTCGATAAAAAAATTCCGCTTCCAGCTCGGCCCGACCACATCGATGACGTAAAATATCTTCAATAGTAGACGGATCATGGGTTGCTGTCGGACTCACCGTGGAGTATTTTTGCGGTTTTCCTCTCTCTGTAACGCAAACTGAGGGTGATCCAGGAGTCTTCTGGATTGGCTTCAAAACATGAATATGAATAGTCCTAAACCTAAAAAAATTTGTCGGCAGTTGAACGAAGGTTATAAAATTGTCGCCCAGTGATATAACTTGTATGAAGCTGTCAGTTGAATGTAGTTTCAGTCACCAATCGACTTCCTGTAGTTCTGACGAGAATTCTTATTTTCAGCATGTCTGGTGGAGAGCTCTTTGAACGCATTACCTCTGATGGTTACACAATGTCTGAAGCAGAGGTCATTCACTACATGAGACAAATATGTGAAGCTGTGAAGCACATGCACGAGAAGAATATCATTCATCTAGACCTCAAAGTACGTTCACTTAATCACATCCCTCAATTATATTTAGATTTTGGTGGCACACACATCCAAGTGATCTTTCAAATTATCTTCTAATATGTCTCAGAGAAAAAAGTGAATCATTACAATGGGTCCATTGAATAGATCGTGGGGACACAAGTCGGATTAAAGGAAGACTTAAATGTATGCATACTCGAGCTAAAATTAGATTAAAAGAAAAAGAAAGTGTTTAATTTCGTATATTAAATAAGGAAGATTTAGATGAAAAAATAACATTTAATCTATTTTCAGTTCAAGTATGCATTCATTAGCAGTTTTTCCCTTTTCTAACTCGTGAGAATCCCGTGACCCATTACAATTACTGAGATTTCCCTTATTTCCTAAAATGAAACATTTTGCAGATTTACCCTAACTTTTAGTGAAGAGCCCAACGATTTTGTGTCACTTCACTTTGATGATTGTTCTTTCTCTTTTAATGGTAAATAAATATTGCACCCTCTGAACCTGCCTGAGATCTGTTTTTATCCTTCCACTCCGCAACGACGTTATATATATATATATATAATATTGAATACAAGATGTATTTCTAAACTATTGCATCAGTAATTCTCATGCAACTTTACAATTCGAAATAAAATAAGAATGAAAAAATTTCTTATTCACTGATAATCATTCTCACGGTTTAAGATAATTCAGATTATTTTATTCGATTTCAACTTATACGTGCAAAATTCCAAATAAGAATTAATTTATTTTTAAAATTTTCATTGATAAAATAATGAAAACTATTCGCTATAAATTTTTTCATGTCAATTCTCATCTGCTAATGATATTTAGTCGCCGCAAATTAGACTTAGTTCCTTATTCGAAAAAGGAAATCAAGAACGTGTTCAAATGACTTATTGTTTTTTTAACTCCACAGCCAGAGAACATAATGTGCCAAATGAAAAATAGTACGGAGATCAAAGTGATTGATTTTGGATTGGCAACAAAGTTCGATCCCAATGAGATGGTCAAGATTTCGACGGGAACTGCCGAGTTTGCTGCACCCGAGATCGTGGAGAGGGAACCAGTCGGCTTTTACACCGACATGTGGGCAGTCGGAGTGTTGGCTTACGTCTTGTGAGTATACTTCTATGTAATGCAGGGGTCTNTTAATTTTTTTATTCTAATTTTACAGTGCCGAGCATAATCTTGTATCTATTTACAATTTTAAAAGTCCTTGAAAAAGTTTTTCGCAATAACCGGACCCTATTTGCACAAATTCATAAAAGCGGACCCTGGTTGAAAGAATGTGAGTAATTTTTTCACAATTTCTCGAAAAACGGACCTTTCACAAAATGTCTGGACAGACCCCTGTAATGCTTTCGTGTCGAGTTATCACTTTTTACAGTCAAACCCCCCTATATAGTGAACTCCCGGATATAGTGAACTCCCGGATATAGTGAACGAAATGTTTGTGCCTTGGTATGCAAGCATAATGTTATTTTTTGTGGATATAGTGAACCAAAAAAAGAGAGGATGTTGGATAGTATGAACTTTTTTCTGTCTTCAACTGATTTTTTCTAATAATTTTGAAATGTCTACATCAAAATAAATACTTATACTGATTTTTAAAACCACATATAGAGTGGAATGTAGCCATAAGCATTTTCTCTTTTTTACTTCTTTTATCTCACTTTTCCATCCTTAAACTAAGGCCAACCCAGGCAAATGTATGGATACATTTTTCCCTGCATCAGCTAAAGATTACTAATTTTTTTTTTTTATACACAAGACAAAAAGTAATAAAAAATAAAAGCAAGTTAACACATTTTTTGCTACTATATATTATTTTTCAGTCATTTCTGTATTTCATTTTGTGGGTCATTTATTTAAATAATGTACAGTACAGAACCCGTTATCCGGAAATCAGAAAACCGGAAAACCAAAAAACCGGAACGAAATTCGATAAATTTTCCCGCCATTTTGAAAAAAAAGGAAAAAACATTTTTCCTCATAATATTTTAGGATTTTTCTTTCTTTTATGAAAGATGTTTGCCTTACCATCATTTCAGAAATAATCATTAGTGTATTACCTCATCGTTTTTTCTTATTTTTAAGATTATTTCCAAAAAAAAATTTTTTTTTTAGTTAGGTTTAACACTAAAAAAACGGTTTTTTGTAGCGATTCAGAAAACCGGAAAAATCAGTTATCCGGAATAGCGATAGTCCCGATCGTTCCGGATAATCGGTACTCTACTGTATAATAAAAAGGAATCATTAGTTAAAATTGTTTGCGGAACGGATATAATGAACTCCCGATTATAGTGAACTGAAATTTCGATCCCTTGAAGGTTCACTATTGCGGGGTTTGACTGAACGATGATATTTCATTTTCAATTCATGTCCCTCAGAGTTCTTGCAGTTGTATTCAATATTCCTTTTTCGTAATGATTCCATCATATTTTTCACTAAACCTTTATAGAGTAAAGAAAAATCTATATACAAAAATATACTTGGAGCAGAGAAGCTATTGGAGACTACTTTATTTTCATAAAGACACTTTTTTTAGCATGCAGGTATTATTTCTTTCATGTCATGTGATCTTCCAGACTTCCTTGTTAGAATGGAACCCGTAAGATGTCATCATAAGACCGAATGCAAGATGCGTTAAAATCTCGAAATATTTATTCATTTGAATGATTTTCGGTTTAATGAAGGCATTTTACTGCCCAGTATGGATTCATTTTATAGATAAAGATTACATTTTTATTCAAATAATATATACGCAAAGTGCCTAATTTATTATGGGAAAGAGATTATTTAAGGTTCCCATCTCTTAGAAAGGCTAGTCTACAATTGAAGTATAATTCTTTCTAGGTTTAGTTTAAGATCACTTTAATTTTACTTAGCTACTATTTATATATATATATAGCTCTATATATATA